GAAAAAGACAGTCCTTCCCTGAAGGAGTTTGCAATCTAATGAGGTTACACAATACCCAAAAGGGAGCTAAAGATAGGGCAGGTGGTACCTGTGGCCCCAGGTGGGAGCCCACAATATTCCTTGAAGTTCAAACCAGACAGAGATGCTGATAATAACTATCTGGAAAGCTCAGCTATAAGCCCTTTATAAAGGAAAGCTTTAGGAGGAATTGAGTGCTTCACCCTCGAGCCCTCTAATCAGAGGGGAAAGGAAGATGAAGGAGTTGAGAAGTTGTTGAGTATTCAAAACTGAGTTAATTAGCATCTTGATGATATTTCAGGTATTCCATTAATGTAATGTATTCCATGTAATATTTTATAACATTCATGTGCCATAATTCCTTTGGGCAGAACACCCACAGGGAGAGGAAGGATGGGAGGCAGAGACAGAGAGAGAAGAGAGAAGGGAAAGAGGGAGGAAGGACGGGAGGGAGGAAGGAATGAGGAAGGGACCGTGTTGTCCAACTGGAAGTTGGGTCCCCAGTGGGGTAGCTTGGACTACTCACTGGTTGTTGCTTGTCCTTCATTCTTGAAGAGGACCATGATCTCAGGGAGGTGATACTATGACTTGCAAATGAATTGGATTTAAGTGAGGGAGGGCAGTGCAAAGTCACCATCCTCACTTTCTCCTCCAGAGCCATCTGGGTCCAGTGGCAAGATATAGATCAAGACGACTAGAGATGGCCCCCATTGAATAGCTAGCATTTATAGAGTTAATACTTTGCATTTTATCCTCACTTCAGCCCTGGGAGATTGGTTTACAAATGAGGAAAATGAGGCAGACAGAGGTTAAGTGACTTGTCCTGGGTCACTCAGGTAGTAAATGTCTGAGGCTATATTTAAACTGAGGTCTTTCTGATGCTAAGCTAAGTAGAATACTGATTCTAGTTCATTGCGTCACCTAGCTGCCTTGAGTAAACAGCATGGTTAGTACATAGAGGTAAACTATTATTCAATGTCTGAGAAAAAGATTATATGTTACTGATGAACCCCTAGGCTTTTCTACCTACAATTTATGGTATTCAAAAAACAAAAGGCAAAATTCCACAATGAGATAAAACCGTTACAAAATTAAGTTTTTAGGGTTTTCACCAAATGGAACTCTAGAAATGTCAATGTTAGGAGACGCACCCTAGGAGAAGTCTTTCAGGAAAGAAAACCAAGGTCAGATCCTGGGAAGAACAAAAGGATCACCTCTCTGGATAATCTCCATACTCAAAGAAGTGGGCACTATCTTTGGTTAACAAAAAGATGTTCCTTCCTTAATCCATTGTCTCTGAGGGTTCTCATTTCAATAAGGTCTGAAGAGAACAAAAAAGGATACTTCACTGAATTACTTAGGAAATTTCTCCCCCCTCCCCCCAGTTACATGTAAAAGCAATTTTTAACATTTGTTTTCAAAACTTTACGTTCCAAATTCTCTCCCTTCCTCCCTCCCCATCCCCCTCATTGATAAGGCAAGCAGTTTGATATAGGTTATATATTTGTAGTGTCAACCATTTACCAAAGGTTTGGTCCAAAGAAACGATCGGTTTCCCCCTTAACCGAAGGTTTATCCAAAGAACAAACAGAATGAGGTTCCCCCTTTACCAAAGGTTTGTTCAAGAACAAACAGAATGGGGTTCACCTTACCAGAGGTTTGAACAAGGAACAAATAGAATCAGGCTGTACATGTGCTATAATGTGCTTATTTATTCTCATTAAGCCAGAGAATCATGCATAATGGAGTCTGAAAATAATTCTGAACTCGGAGGTAAACAAGCTGAAGAAGGCTCTTAATACACTTAGAGCAACCCCAACTCAGGATGCCTGTTTCAACCCAAAATTATGGTCTCCATATGTGTTTAACCATAGTATAAGAAAGGAATTTCTTAATAGGATAGGTTGTAAATACAGTGAGATAAAAGAATGTCAAGGTGTCAATTAAAATTACAGACCCAGGGGCAGCTAGGTGGTGAAGTAGATGGAGCACTGGCCCTGGAATCAGGGGGACCTGAGTTCAAATTTGACTTAAGAGCTGTGTGACCTTGGCCACGTCACTTAACCCCATTGCCTAGTCAAGAAAACAAAACAAAAACAAAACAAAACAAAAAACCCAAAGAAATTATAGATCCAGGATGTCTGTGTTTCTTTTATCACATTATATATATAATATACAATTTTATAATTATATAATACAATTATAATATATTATAATGTATAATATATACTTATATAATATATAATATTATATATATACAGAGAGAGTGCATAACATAGCGTAACATGTGTTCATAAAATACTAAGATAAGAAAAGTCTCATTATTCAAGATAGTGTTCAGTTCAAGGTGCCTTGTCTTTGGTAGTCATAAACAGAAGAAACTTAAAAATGCTCCTGGTCAGTTTCATCTGGCCTTATAGTTGCTGAAACAGGAAGAGGCATTTTGGGTTCACTTAGAGAACAAACTGAAGCATGTCTGCCAGAGCACACAAAGCATTATGGTAGGTTCAGCTAAGAATGGGCCAAAGTGTCTTTCTCCTGATTGGCTAACTCAGGTTTTAAGCCTTTCTCAGGTGATGGGGGACTCGAAAATGGTTCACAGTAGTCATGCAAAATATATCTATAATAGTTATGTTGTGAAAGAAAACATAGACAAAAAAACCTCAAGAAAAATAAAGTAGGGGCAGCTAGGTGGCACAGTGGATAGAGCACTAGCCCAGGGGTTAGGAAGACCTGAGTTCAAATTTGCCCTCAGACACATAACACTCACTAACTGTGTGACTCTAGGCAAGTCACTTAACCCCAATTGCCTCACACACACACACACAAAAAAAAAAAAAGAAAAGAAAGTAATTAAAAATATGCTTCAATCTATATTCAGACACCATCAGTTCTTTCTCTGGGGTACTTCACTGAATTACAAAGATGTTCCTGCCTTAAATCTGATCCCAACCCTAACTTTTGTGGGGATTAGGACTCCAGACTAAGTGAGAATGAGAACTGATTTGGTTTTCCATAAATGAGATCTGAGACTCCAGGAACTAGTAATAGCTTCCATTTATATGAGGTGGCTAGGTGGTTCAGTGGCTAGAGCACTGGGCCTGAAGTCAGAAGACTTGAGTGTGATCCTGAGCATGTCACTTAACTTCTGTTTGCCTTCATCCACTGGAGAAAGAAATGGCAAACCACTCCAGTATCTTTGCCAAGAAAATGCCATAGATTGTTTGCTCCACTAGGTCACAAAGAGTTGCATATGACTGAACAATAAAACAACAATTTACGTAATGTTTTAAGGTTCACAAAGCTCTTTATAAACATTATTTCATTTAACAACACCCCTGGGAGGTCTGTTATTATTATCCATCCCCATTTTGCAAATGAGGAAACTGAGGCAGAAAGAGATTGTGATCTAAGGTCACACAGCTAGCAAGCATCTGAGACAGGATTTAAACTTATGTCTTCCTGATTCCTGACTCCACGGGCTGCACTATATCTATTATTATTATTAATAGTAGTAGTAGTAGTAGTAAACATTCATTTAGGACTTTAACGGTGGTAAGGTGCTTTCTGTATATTCTCGTTTGATCAGTAAAATGTGGGCTTTGAAGTAGATAATCCCAGAGTTCTATTACAGCTCTAAAGTTCTTTGTCCCAGGTTGTACTGCTAGTAAACAACATAACTGGGAATCTGACCCAGGTTTTCTAGATACAAGACTGGATTTTTCTGTCAATTCAATAAGCATTAAATCCCAACCGTGAGCAGAACTCCGAGTTGGGATGTGTGTGTATAATATATATCTATATATATCTATTTATATAGATATATATATATATGCATATACATATATATATAAATTTAGACACAGTGACAATGTAACATAAATCTGTGCAAGGAGTGGCCACTCAAAGAACCAGTTTCGGGGATGAAGTTAAGGGTGTGGGTGTGGGCGGCTGCCCGTGGCCACTGATATACTTGGGGTTTCTCTTTCAGAAATAAATAGCCCCACCTGCTGGGAGGTTATAGGGCGCAGTTAAGGGATTAGCCTGACAACCTTAGCCTGTCAGCATTGGGGTTCACTTGTTCTGGTGGATATATTACATGCAGGCACGTGTCAAATATGTGTGTATGCAGAGCCTAACTAGCAATTTTGGTATTGGGCAATCAACACAAAATACTCTGGAAAGCAAAGGACAAAATACATCTTTAAATCAGATTTTAAAGTCAAATTCAACGTGTGCTTGTGTGTGTATAAGAGGAAATCCTGAGACTCTACCAAACAGGAGGGAAGAAAGAGACGCCAGGCAAGCCCTCCACCCCTCTTCCCCCCACCTAAAGGCTCTTTATTTTAACTAATTATTCTGCGCTACTGAAAGAGTTTCAGGGCAGTCAGTGCTCTCTAAAAAGAGCACTAACTAAACAGCTTCTGGGATGCACGGCCAATATGGTTGAAGGGTGTATGTACTGATATGAGATGTGTACTATATACTCTGAAAAGTACGTTTTGTTGGGGATGGTAACATAAGATACACGACATTGTGTCTAAGATGTTTTGTTTGGGGTGTGTTGGGTATGTGTGTGAATTCAATCGTTAAGCATCTAGTATAGGCCAGGCATCACGTTAGGCTCTGCGGATACAAACATTCAAAAAAAAAAAGAATGCTAGCATTTCTGTAGCGCTTTAAAATTTGCAAAGCCCTTGACTTATTATCTCATTTGGTCTACGAAGTGATGTTTATTCTGTGTGTGTTGGGTCCAATTAAGGTGTGCTTGGTGTGTAATAACTTCCCCCGGGGCAGGAGCCAGGCTCACATTCGTAGAAGCCATGAAACTGCCCGGATTTCGCGGACCGCGCCGGAGCTTAGCGCTCCACCCTTTCTGCCTAGTCTTGTTCAGGAACTACAATTCCCAAGAAGCCTCGGGCCTATCTGGGGGTGGGGGGGAGAGGGCTGTCGTTTTAACAAATCACCAGGCGGCTGGAGACTGGAAAGGGAATGATTCGCTGGAGAAGCCCTATTGCGAGACCGGGAAGAAGGCTAAAAGGAAAGAGTGGCAGCCGAGCCAATCCTCGAGCTCAGAGCCTGTCGCGGAGGCGGGAAAAGAAGGTCGCGGATGTATTTGGAATGAACTTCGACCAATCTTCGTTCGCAAAGACAGTGGAGGCAAGGGAAGGCCGAGGGGGTGGGGAACACTACCCATGGGAGCAGACGGTGACCAATGAGGAGCAGAAGAGATGGGGAGGGGCGGGCCCGGCGCTGACTAGCAGCTTCATCGGCCTGTAGATTTGATTGGTGTGGGGGCGCCATGGCCGCGCTGGTGAGCCGGGGTCGTAGGGCCGAGGTGAGGGGGCGAGCTAGAGTCCGTCGAGGCCATCGAGCAGGGAGGTTCAGTTAGATCGTGTCTTGTGTGTTCGCAGGATTCTGCGGTGGTGGACCTGATCAGCGACAGCGACAGCGACGGAGAGGCCGGCGCGAGCGGTGCCAGGGATGGAGAGGGCCCGGCATATTCTAGAGGTGGAGGCCGCTGCCGTGACCGCGATAGTGACAGCGACAGTGAGGAGGAAGGGGCCGGGGCGGCTGAGCGGCTGCGGCCCCCTGCCCCGCGGCGGCGGCGCCTTCTGCTGGGAGCAGGGGAGGCTCCCGTGGTCCCCGTATATTCGGGCAAGGTGGGGGTCCTGGGGAACTGGAGGGAAGGGAGGGGACCAGGTACCCGCGTCCTCAGCAAGGTATGGAAGGGAAGTCTCCCGGGTGGATCGAGGAGGGAGGGGGGAGGGAGGGAGGGATAGGATGGGAACGGATGGAATGGGGACTTGGGGATGCTGTGGGAGGATGGGTGGGTTCCTCAGTCTAGGTGACCGACCTGGTGCCCTGCCCCCTACCGGTCTGTAGGTGAAGAGCAGTCTCCGCTTCTTCCCCAAGGATCTTAGGCAGCCACTGTTCATCGGAAGCCCTAGCGGGGAAGGTGAGATGGGGGGTCTGGGGGGGTAGAGGCCAACTGGGCAGGGAGGCCAGGCTGGCCAGCTGCAGCTCAAGCAAATGGTCATCGGGTACCCAGCAGCACTGGGAAGCCTTTCCTAACCCCTCTTAATTTTAGTGCCTTCCATCTGATGATTACTATTAGCATCTGTCTATACCGTTTATCTTATAGAGCTTATTCATACATATTTGTTATCTCCCTCATTAGATTGTAAGCTCCTTGAGGGCAGGAACTTTCTTTTGCTTCTCTTTTGTATCCTCGGTGGTTATCACAGTGCCAAGCATATAGTAGGCTCTTAATAAATGCTTATTGACTAACTGATGATAGACAGGATGTCCTCTTTTTAAGTTTATTATTTGTTCTTTGTCAGTGTTTATGAAGGTCTTGCCAGTTTCCTCTAAAATTGCCCATTGCATGGTTTCTAATATTGCATTAATATTTACATGTTATATGCCACAAATCATTTACCCATTCCCTAATTAGACCCCTCAGTTTCTAACTTTGGACTGCCAAGAAAAATGCTACAGAAATTTTTGTAAATGTAGATCCTTTTCTCTGAGGCCTATTAATGGCATACCTGAGTCAAAGAGTACCTATAGTTTGGTAATTTTTTGGACTTAATTCTAAATTGCTTTCCAGAATGGCAGGACAAATTCACAGCTCCACCAAACAGTGCACTGGTGTACCTTGGAGGTGGCATTCTCTCTGGAGTTTATTGTTTTAACAGGCAGAGTTGTCCTTGAGTGGGGTGAGAGGTTTAGGACAAGAGAGAAAGAAGTGCTGTCTGGGTATTTTCTTTTAAGGGGAGGGGGGAGAGGTGGATCCTGATCTGTAGATAGCTATCTATATAGCTGTATCTTTTTAAACACATACACAAATACATAATGAAATTGATTAACAAGTATGCCAGAACTCACATGTCCAAGTCAGTGTCCTGGTATAGCTGGCTCCAAGGATAGACACATTAAATTAATCAGCAATTATGTGACAGACTGTGCTAAGTGTTAGGATACAAAGAAGAAAGTGAAATAGTTCCCTCAAGGATTTTGGATTCTACAGGAAGAGACATAATATATAGACATGCATAAAGTAGATATTCAGTAATTCTGTGGGGGGAAAAGCATTAACAGTTGGGGAGAATCAGGCATGGCGTAATATAGAAGATGGCATGTAAGCTGAGTTTTGAAAGAAACTAGGGATTTTAAGAGGCAGAGATAAAGAGGGAGTGATTTTTTTCAAGGTGAAGCCCTAGAATCTGGAGGTGGAGTGTCTTGTATGAGAAACACTAAAAAGGCTGGTAGAGAAGATATGAAGGTTAGTAATGTGTAGTGAGGCTGGGTAAGTATGTGAGCCAGCTTACAAACAGCATTGAATTTCAAACACAGGAATTTATATTTGATCTTAGAGGTGACAGGGAACCACTTGAGTTTATTGAGTTAGAGGAGTGACATGGTCACTTAGGAAAATTACTTTGGAAACTGTAGGGAGAGACTTGAAGCAGGGAGACAAAATAGGAGGTGATTGCAATTGTCTAGGTAATAGATAATGGGGCCCTGAACTATTGTAGGATCTATGTAAGTGGGTAGAAGGGGACATTTGCAAGAGATCTATAGGCAGAAACAACTAGATTTGGCACCTGATTGAAATAAATACTTAATATTCGGTGTTTATTAGCACTGGACACAGACAGAAGGGTAGGGACTGGACATGTGACTTCATTATTGTAGGATACTCCCTTTCCCAATACAGATCAGCATTTTTACTATAATTTACAATGTTAGGGAGTAGCCTAGAGTGCTGAGTTAAATGATTAGCACATCATCAGAGAGGTGGGCCTTGAATCCAGGTCTTTCTGGCCGGAGATACAAAAAAACAAGACATCACTGCTCTTAAGGAGCTTACATTCTAATAGGGGACTAATAGAGTAGCTAGGAAAGGATGGGAAGTCATAGGGATAGTGAGTGACCATCCACTGACATGCCATTTCATTGGCAGTGTTGATTTGACTACTGACCAGAAAATGGGTAGGCTAAAAATGAAAATCAATCAATCAGTAATTAAGTGCCTACTACATGCCAGGTCCTGAGGATACGAAAAGCAGCTAAAGAACCCCTCAAGGACCTTATAATCTAGTGATGCAATCTAAGAATTCATGACCCCAGGGAGTTTAGAGTAGCTCATTCCAGGCATGGTCTCTGGAGGTTTGATTTGGAGGGTGATAGAGCAGCAGCAGGACAGAAAATAGCCAAGGTGAAAATTGATGGCACGTGGTCACAGGGAATCGTGAGTGTGGAGTGATTGCTTGATGTTACTCTTTGGGGATTGCCTTCTGAGTGTGTGGTACCATCTTTTGAATATCACTAATGGTGATAAATCTTCATCTTTTGAGGGTAGGGTTATTGTAGCTTCTTCACGGAAGGCAAATCCAAGCCATTCTCCCCTTGTGCAATTCTGGACCCACTCGTAATGTCCATTTGTGGTATATTCTCTAATACATATGCACTGTTAGATGAACTCTGGGTCATCAATACAGCCACATTAGTCAGGGAATTGGGCATTTTTCATATCTTGTTCTCCAGTTGGAGGTAGTGGAAGGAGCAAGCATTGATTTTATATTTTACATTTGATTTCATCCTGTAATTGATCCTATTTTCTAACTTTAGTTTGTATTTCATATAGCAATCTGATTTCTTTTCTCTGTTTCTGAGTGTAGAAGCTCATGAATTCAAAAGTTCAGCCTCCCTCTCTAAAGTTTGATGCAAAGGTTTAAGCTTTCCCACAATCACTGTTCATTAAAGAAGAATTCTGAGCTATGTTTAGAGATTCAATATTCAAGAAGCATTCTAATTCTAAGGGAGTTGTTATCTCAGCACCACCAGCAAAGCATTACTTTGTGCCAAGGAAATTGTTCTCTCTCATAACTTCAGCTCCTGAGAACACCAAGGACGTTTGTATGTTGTCCTTGAGAGCATGCAAACTCCCCTGGCCCCATCTTAGCCTCATCCTTGTCCAATTAAAAGTGGTCTTAGGTGCCTGTGAGTCTGCCACTACCAGTCCATTCTTAATGGCCTAGGCATCCCGCTGGGTCTCATAAGTTAGTAAAGCATGCCTTCTAGACAGAGGGATGGCCCTGATCCCCTCTGTATGACTATGTATACCCACTTTCCTTAATATAACCAGTCATAATCTCTTACCGCCCATGATGTTGCCAACTCCATAGCCAATGGTATAATTTCCTCACCTACTCTGTTCTTTTTTCTATGCTTATAAAAAGGAGTTGTATCTCTAATTCTTTGTCTTTAGCTAGAAACCAATGCAAGTCATTGACCTCTTTATTAATAGGTTTGGCACCCTATTTATAACTGTTATCTTGCTCGGAGAGAACATGCCTCAGTGTATCTTTTATTGAACTTTACTCAAAACAGTAGTTAAGCCAAACTTTTAAATATTTAGGAGGCTCATTGGTGTTCTGGGATTCCTCTTCTTGCCTTCATGTTCGTGTTCCTTAGGGCACCTGTTATCTGAGGTTCTTCTAGGTCTTGCTTGCTCTTTGGCTTCTTTCAAAAATTTGTCCAGACCAAAGTGATGTTCCTCAAGTTGAGCTAACCCTTCTCAGCTTTGATATCTACAATCTGAGCCAGAAAACACCTTATTGGGTACAATTCTGTAGGTCTTTATTCAGGCCTCACTATACATGTCTTTGTCCAGATTTTTCTAAGTGTAGGTATTTTGGGCCATGCATCTTTTCCACTTCTCCATGTTTGATCATAAATGTTATGAATTACATCCTCTCCACCAGCAAAATTACTGGCTCATATGCTTGATCTGGTTGAAGAGCCTCTGATCCTGCTGAGCTTCTTTGTAAGTCCAAAAGCAGTGACTTCACTGATATCTCAAGTCTCACTTCTCTGTAGTTTTAGTTTCTTATGAGGAGCTGCCTTGGAAAGATTGCTGTCCATCTGTCTTGTCCCAGTTCACCTTGTTCCTGAGCCTCCCCACCCTCAGCTCTACTCTGCATAGCTTTCTGAGCTATTTCTTGAAACTTCATGTTTCTCCTTTTCCTTTTATAGCATCTTTTCCCCCACTTGCCCTTGCATCTCCACTGCTTCTCGAGCCTTTCTGTCAGCAATGTAGAGAGCTTCAGCAACTTTGGCAAATGTTTCATTAATATGAGCTGTCTGCAGTCCTCTCCTCATCAGCAGCCAGACATTTGTCTGATGGAATGTTGTAACCCTTTGCATTTTTCAGTCTTAAATACAGGGAGAAATTTTCCACTTCTGTTTCTTTACAGCCATCTTTTGTCTAGGAGAACGTATGACAGCTGCAGGAGGAGGAGATCAGTCAGGATTTTTTTTATTTTGAATCTTGGAGGTTCCATTGGGTCTTTTTTGCAATTCCACCATCTGTATAACTCTTTGCTTAGCTCCACAGTTGAAAGCCACTTCTTGCTGAAACAGCGTGTACCTCATGTACTGAGCTGGGGCTAGTTTATCTGCTGCTTGAATTGGCATATCTTCTGAGACATAGCACTCTCCAGGGCTCCCATTTCTTCTGTTACCTCTTTAATGGTTTCTTCATCATGTCTTTGTTGGTCTGGGTCATCTACATTCACAACTTCTTTGGGAACCGGGTTGTTATACTTGCTGTAAATGTCTTTTGTCTGTTGAGCAATTGCGTCATAATTACCTTTCCTCTCTACATCTACCTGAATGGCCAAGGCATTAGATTTTTTTTTTTCTTTCTTTCCATATCCAATGGGTATTGGGCCATATGTATTTCTGGAAAGGCATTTCCATATTCAAAATCCTCTAATAATCTAGGTACCTAGCGTTTCTGAACTCTGTATAGAGGAGATTCTCTTCATGATGAAACCAGTACAGCCTGCCTTGATCTCTGTAATCTGACCCTTTACATAGCCTCAAGTTGATTCTGAGAAGGCTGAATCAGTGCAAATACAAAACTGGTCAGCACCATCTATTCTTCTATGTTCGTCATTTATTGTTTTATATATATATATATATTGTTATATATATTTCCTACTTCATTCTGCATGAGTTCTTCCCGTGTTTCTCAGAATTATTCATCTTCATTGTTTCTTATGATGTAGTAATACTCTTACATTCATGTACTGCATGAATATCTCTTTGATTTCCACTTCTTTGCTGCCACAAAGAGTGCTACTATAGTATTTTAATGTTTTTGGGACTTTTCTATTTGTGTGACTTATTTGGAGTTATGCTGAGCAGGAGCAACTCTGGGTTAAAGAGTGTGGACATTTTAGTCATTTTAAAAATATAATTCCAAATTGCTTTCTAGAATAGTCAGACCAATTCATAGCTCCACTAATGGTCCAGCTCCCTAATTTTTCAGCTTTATTTTAAAATTGTAGAATCTGCTCCTGAACCCTTGAGGCAAATCAGGTAGTACAGCTCCTACACACAACCTTTAGGCTGCAAACTGGTGTTCATTGTAATCATATTTCACCTGAATAAGACATATTTGAGGGATAAGAGAAATAGGAGTAGAAGGGAGAGGAATGAGCACATCTTGTAATTTGTCATAGGAAGTCCACGTTGTCTAAGAGTGGGAGAAGAAGGCAGAGTTGGGGCATCCTTTGTAGTTAAGAGAAGTGGTTTAAAACCATGATGTTGAGTTGAGACAGCTGTCAGGAGGAGGGACGTGATTGAAGCAGCCTTCAGTTGCTGGAAGCAGCATGGGATCTCATTGCTTTGGGCCTTCAGAAAGCCTTCATTTTGCCTCTCCAGATTTCATCTCTGTTGCCACCTCTTACCTGTGGTTTCCCCTTCCTTTTCTCCCAGCTCTGGATTTGGATTCTGATCAATCCCTTTCTGAGACCGTCCTTTTGCCAGTTTATTCTTCAGAAGTGAATCAAAAAACCAATGATGAAGAAGAGAAGCATTTTTTGTGAGTATGCAGAATACAGGAACAGGAAAGTGTTTGGTGTTGACAACCAGTGGCTGGCAGGTTGCCTGGGACCTAGGGAGGGGTGGAAGGATAGAAGGATACAATGGGATAGCTGGGTTTGGGAAAATTTTCATGACTAGATCTGGGCACCAGGATTCAAAGGGAACTGGGACCTGTTTCTCTTTATCATTGACTGCTCTGGGGTCTACTACCCATTTTCTTTTGTATATTTTCTTTTCAGGGTCCAGGACAGTTCCTCTTCCCCTTCTCCCCCTCCCAGGCGACGTGGGCCTTGCAGGAAACCACCAAGAGCCTTTGGAAAGATAAGGTGAAGTTTGGGATGGCAGCTGTTTTGGAGGACCTGTTGAGAGTCACTGAATTGAGAGTAGTTGGTGCTTCATGAGTGGGTGGGTGAGTCCTTGCCCTCTTTTTCTGACCCTACAGGGAGGTGAATAAGCGCTTGCAAGGTCTCCGATCTTACCTGAGCCCCCTGTCACCCAAAGGCCATGTTTCTGAGAACTCCGAAGATGAAGTGATCTTGGTGGAGGAGAACAATGTTAGGGAGAGCCCCCGACTCTTAACTCTTAAAGTGAGGTGCCGGGCTGACCTTGTCAGATTGCCTCTCAGCACGGTGAGAACTTGGGAACAATTATAATGGGCTAATTTGGGGAAACAGGGTGGAGTAGCGGGCCTGATTTCCTTGGTCCTCAGTTCGGGGACAGGAAGGTTGGTCGTTAGTTCTGAATTCTGGGTGCATTGTGAGGTTGGGCATGAATGAATTCCCTATACTTTCCTCTTTTTTTTCCAGGCCGAGCCCTTGCAGGTCGTTGTGGATCACATGGCATCTCGCCTAGGAGTGTCCCCTGCCCGAATTCTTCTGCTGTTCCGAGAAGTAGAGCTTTCCCCAAGTGCCACCCTCAGCTCTCTAAAGATTGGAGTGGCTGACATCATTGGTGAGTGCAGGTGGCTGTGGGGCTGAGTCATGGTAAAGCATGAAAGCCTGTGGAAAGCCCAAGCTGCCTGCTAAGTCCCTTTACTTCCTTCCCTCTCCCTTACAAGATTGTGTGGTCCTGTCCAGTACTCCTGAGCCTTCAAAAGAGTCAGAATCGGGTGAGGAACTTCGGCTCAGGGTTCAGGGGCAAGAGAAACACCAGGTTCTGGAGGTCACTGTGCCCCGGGTAAGTGAGGAATGGAGCCCGGGGGATGGAAATCTTCCTTCCCATCCACTCAGCATCCTTATTGACAACTACTACTCTGAGACTGAATCCTTTCTGATAAAGACACCCAGAGACTGTCTCCTGGGTCCTTTTTACTTTGTCCTTTTCAACTTCAATTTTGTTTTAAAAAGAGAAAAGGAAGAATCTTTCTGTGGCTGATAATCTTGCCTTCCTCTCTTCTGCCTTCAGGGCCCTCTACTTTACCTAATCATAGAAGGTTGAAACTGGAAGAAAGCTTAGAGGTTAGCTAATTTAACCCTCTTTTTAAAAAAGCCTGTGTGTGTTGGGTTCTTTATTCTGATCTTTTGGTCTATTTTTTTTTTCCAGTCCCAGTTTTGTAAGTTACTGCTTTACAGTTGGAGATCTGGTAGTGCTAATTTCCTGTCATCAGTTTTCTTTATTGTAATTTTAGATATTCTTAATCTGTTGGTTCTACCATATAAATTTTGTTCTGATGATATAATCTATGAAATAACCTAGAGGTATTTTGATTAGTATTATATTAAATCTATCTGCTAATTTGGGAACTTGTGCTATATTTGCTCCACCTAACCATTTTCCATAAAAATTACTTTGGGGGTTGTCTTTGTATCTGTCTCTTGTATACTGAGATAAGTTAATGCACAGATATTTGATATGCTTTTTATTTAATTAACATTTCTCTTAAAATAAATTTTATTCTGGGTTGTAGTTAATGTCCTTCATTACAGAGGAGGAAACTGAGGCCCAGAGAGAGAAAGTATGTTGTAGAAGACCTCCTTCATATGTCGATGACATTGTTAGTCCACTCCCACCAAAAATTCTTTATCACCTCTCTATCCAAATCCCCACAATCCTTCCTTTCTGGCTTATGACCCTTTCTTCCTTTAGGGTGCTCCTCTTAAAACACTGATGTCTCACTATGCAGAGGCCATGGGACTCAAAGGACATAAGCTCTCTTTCTTTTTTGATGGTGAGAAGCTTTCTGGCCAAGGGACCCCAGCAGAGTTAGGCATGGAACAAGAGGACCTCATTGAGGTTAGGGGTTGAAGTGTGATGTTCTGCCTTCTGCCTCCTCCCCTGCCTTCAGACCGCGAGATGTGAAGCTGGGGCTCCTCAAAAATCTAAGGAGAATGCCTGCCCTTCTCACCTTCCTTCTCTGTCTTCTTTCCCCTCTTCCGGTTGCCCTAAAGCTAGATCTGAGAAAGACCTTCCCTTCCCCCCCTTTTCCCTTGTCCAAATTTACCACTCACCCTTCTTTCATGGGTGTCCTGGGGGTGATGCTGCTGCTCTAGCATTTTCCGTCAGTTTCTATGAGTGCATCCTAGTCCTCTTCTGCTAGCTGAAGGATTTGGGTCCCATTTACCCTGTATATATGTAAATGTGTCCTTTGATCTCTGTCTCCTAACACTAATTCTTTTGGATTGGGTGTGAAGATGTATTGCAGACCCCTTATTTCCAAATATCTTTCCATGAGACCAGTCATTTTTGTAACTGGAGTTAAAATAAAATGAATGATGTAGTTTGGATTCTGGGTTTGAACTCGAATTCCTCCAAGGTTTTTGCCTCATTGGTGGGATGGGGGATGGGGAGAGTCAAAGCCTTGGTTTGGTCACTTGGTTAGGTCTTGGGTTTAATGACATTTAGGGGCAGGCAAGGAGAGCATTCAAGTTCCAGGTGGTTCATTACTCTGGATGGAGTTGAGTTGGCTTGCTGAATGCAGTCTTTTGGTGGTAGGAGGGTCATCTTGTTGCTTATGACACCTCTCTCACCCCTACCTCCTGACTTCCTAGCACACCTCACACCTCTTTTCAGTATTGGGCTGGGCACTGGTGGTGATCAGGGGAGAGGAATGGGAAGATTAAAGAAGACATGGTTCGTGGCCTCATAAAGCTCAGAATTTAGTGGGGAGTGAAACATTCTCTTTAATCAATATTCCAACAACTATGGTTTTATTGGTTTGGGTACAGTTCCACAATGTACAGTTCCTGAGATTTAAAAGATCATCTGGAATTACTGTGACTGAAAACTTCATCAACCTATAGCCAGCCCAAGGATGAGCCTTTCTTAGCTAGATGGGTCAGTCTTCGGTCAACCATTAGTGGCTGGGCCCTTAATTAAAGCCTTTCTAGCTTTGTAGGACCTGCCAGAAGCTTGTTCGATGCTGCCAAAGAGAAACCTAGAGAAACTAGTTACTCCCTGAGGCATCAGAGTAGGATTTTGCTGTATCATATCAGCATAAATAACTACAATACAAATTATATGTAGTAACTACACAAGATAGATGAAAACTAAGTTGTTTGTCAAGTACTTGGCAAGGGGTGGTTTACCATTGCCCGGGACCATCAAAGAATAATCATGGTAGCATTTGGCATTTTATTCGGGCTTTAAAAGATGGGTAACATTTCACCCGGTGGGGGTGAAGGGGACACTTGTGGGCGCAGGGATTGTTGGGAGCTAAAGCAGGGAGGCCACAAGAATTAGAAGGGTTGTGACCTTTCCCCAACTCCTTCCCCACGTGGTTTTCCCTGCGGCCGCGGGGGCCGCCCGTGAGCCCGACAGCGGAAACTGCTGTGCCAAGTTCGGCGCCTCCAGGGTGTGGGATGGGACCCATCATCTCACAGCCTCTGCATCCGATGCCCCTCGTGTTAGAAAAGGGTACTGGGCGGCCGCCCCCGGCAGCGTCTATCGGACCTTACGAGCTTAGATCGAGAGCTGGAGGGGACTTTGAGGCCACCGGGGCAACGTTTCCGGAGACCGAGGGACCCGTCCGGTGTCAAGCGTGTATTAGGCCTATCCTGGAGCCTGAAGAGAGCCACAGCATCCCAGCTCGCTGCTCCTCGGGTCCCGGAGCCGCCGCCATCTGGCTCTGGCGGGAGGTGGAGACCTCGGGATAGGTTTTGAGGAAGGTTGGAGACCAGTCCCCTTATTGTCATAGTAACGTGTAACTTGCCCCATCACGTGTTCAGGGCACGATCCTGTCATGTGACTCCCGATCTGGTTCGCCGGCTCGCCCACGCCCCCGGGTCACATGACCTTCGCGCAGCTATCATGGCGGTGACCGCGGTGCCGTTTGGTGCCTGAGCACTCCAGGGTAGCAGCGGCTGCAGAGCCGGTGGGCGCCGGGAATCGTGCACTATTTAGGGTAAGAGGAGCTCCCTGGACCAAAGGAAAAGGTGGCTTGGAGCGCCCCTGCCCCGTGGGCTGGGGTGGGTCACGGAGCCGTATTCCCCGCCCCTTTCCTCCCCCTGTAAACTTGGCTTCCTTGGGTTCCTCCTTCCTGCTCGGACCCCTCTTTCCTGCTCTCTCGGTATCTGGGTTTTGGTGCGCACATGCCTGCACCCCCAGCACTAGCCCCTCCTGTGGCACCGGGCTCGCCTTCTCTGCTTCCCTGGCGGGGGTCGCAGTAACCACGTGGATATGTTTTGTGTGTACCTTCCCAGGTCAGGTGGGAGGGGCCCAGGAGGCCGAAGGCCGGACCGCGGTGGAGGCCAGGCCTTGCAGATGGGGCGGGGACCAGACTCTAATAGTGTGAATTCTTTGAGTTTCTTATTTTTTCACTTGTAAGATGGGCATAATGATACCACCTCTTGCGGTTGTGAGGATCAACTGAAAACACTTATAAAACAAGCCCTTTGAATGTAAACAGGCATTTTCCTTGGGTCTTTTTCACTCCCATTCGGGACAATATATGTCATTTTTCTTGTGAAGGCCCGTTAAGAGTTGTGAGCTAAGAATCAGGGAATCAGGGTTCTAGCCCTTGTGCCTTGATTTGTCTTCTTTATAACATTAGGCAAGTCACTCATTGTCTTTGGGTCTCAGTATCTTTCTTTGTAAAAATCACAGTATCAACAATTGAGAGCCAATAGAGACTTTAAAAAGGAGCTAGATTTAATTTCCAAGGCACTTTTAAATTCCTACTTTGTATCTTCTTCATGGTGAATGTATATTCCTCTTTCCTCCAGGTTAAATTGTCTGGGTCTGAAAGTGTAAGGGACAAGTAACCACGGAGAGAACTGGCTGAGGGGCAGCTATGCCTGGGCTGCTGGGTCAGTCAGACACAGCCCCATTTCTCAGCCAAGCAGATGATACAGAAGAAGGAGTGGGGGGCCCAACCCCTGGCGCTGGCAAGACTGCAAGTTTGGGGGGTTCAGAGCCACAGGATAGAGAAGACCCAGATGGGGAAGGGCTACAACTGATAACAGGCGTCTCCCCTCGACATGCAACTTTGATTGTGGGTGTACTTTGTTATATCAACCTTCTTAACTACATGGACCGTTTTACTGTGGCAGGTAATTAATTTGGAAGGACTTTTGTATCAACATTTTGAAGGTAGTAGTTGTTTGTTTAGTCATTTTTTCAGTCGTGTCTGATTCTTCATGATCCCATTTTGGGATTTTCTTTGCAAAAATGCTGAAGTGCTTTGCCATTTAGTTCTCCAGCTCATTTTACAAATGAGGAACTGAGACAAACAGGGTTTAAATGACTTAACCCAGGGTCACACAGCTAGTAAGTGTTTGAGGCCCGATTTGAACTCAGGAAGATGAGTCTTCCTGACTTAAGGTCAGGCACTTTATCCACTGTGTCACCTAACTGCCCATCCTTGAAGGCAGAGACTATTTAATTTGTGGTTTTGTATTTTGAACACTTTGCACATAATGGTGCTTAATAAATATTGAATTGAATTTTGAGGCAACCAAGAAAAGACCAGAGGCTTTTGGAGGTGATTCCATTGCTGGTAAAAAGAGGAAGATAAGCTTGATTCGAAAGATAGTTTCCTTTCCTCACCACCTTCCCTTCCACTGAACTGTTTTTCAGGCGTTCTTCCAGACATTGAGCAGTTCTTTGGTATTGGTGACAGCAGCTCCGGCCTCATCCAGACTGGTGAGTAGGGTTCTGTCTCTGGGATAAGCTGCTTTCAGTGTGAAGAGGAATGTCCTGGAGTCTGAGAAATTTTTTTCCCCTCTGTGCCTCTTCAGGGTTATGGGTCTTTGGGTGGGGAGACAGGGCATTCTGATGGGAGGGTTTAATCCTTCTGTCTCTTCTCCAGTGTTTATTTCCAGTTACATGGTGCTGGCCCCTGTATTTGGCTACCTGGGTGACAGATATAACAGGAAGTACCTCATGTGTGGTGGCATTGCCTTCTGGTCACTGGTGACTCTGGGTTCTTCATTCATCCCTAGAGAGGTGAATAAGCGTCCCGTGGTTCTGGCCCCACTCTCAAAGTGCATTTACTGGTGATCTGTTGTGGGACACAACTACAACAAACTCATATGTTATTTAAGTAGCTTTGTTTTTGTCTCTGTTTGCTCTTTTACCTGAGAACATCCTGGTTATAGGGGCATTCATTCCCTCCCACCCTTAACCTCTGTTTTGTTTTGTTTTGGTTCAGTTCCACTGCCCACACCATTAATGTAGGCCTTCCCCGAGGCTTTGTCCTTGACTCTCTTTTCTTCTCTCTGTGTTCTCTCCCCTAGAGAGCTGAACTACTTAGGTGGTTTCAGTGATCATTTCTTTGTAGATAACTTCCTAAGTCAGCACTTCAGGTAGATGTGGTTCGTTTTGTTTTGCCGAGAAGCTTGGAGAGACTGGGAGGTCAGTAAAGGGCCTGTGAAACTCTCTGAGGTGGAGAATGTCCATTTTTTTTTAAAAATTCTTTTTCTAGAGATTTTGGCTGCTGCTCTTTACACGGGGCCTGGTAGGGGTTGGGGAAGCCAGTTATTCTACCATTGCCCCCACCCTCATTGCCGACCTCTTTGTAGCTGATCAGCGGAGTCGAATGCTTAGTGTCTTCTACTTTGCCATCCCTGTGGGCAGGTGAGATCATGGGGGAGAGGGAGTAGGAGGAACTCGGGCTCTGTCTTCAGGCTGGGAGAAGGGCTTTCTGGCCTGGAGAATGAGAGACAGAAAACCAGTCTGGGAGGAGGCACCAGCCTCATCTGGGGAGAGGAGAAGCTTTTGTTAGAGGCACGTCCTCTAACCTGAATCCCATAATCATTTTTCCAGTGGTCTGGGTTATATCGCAGGATCAAAAGTGAAGGATGTGGCTGGCGATTGGCACTGGGCACTCAGGGTGAGTCTTCCATGAGGGATGGAGAGGGTGTACAGATCATCCTTCTTGAGCCTCTTACTCACTTTTGACCCTCTTCCAAATAGGATGTGTGTATGCATATGTGTGTGTGCATGCGTGCGTGCGTCTGTGTGTGTGTTTTGTGTTCTCTAGCCTCCAATTGTTCCTGAGGTTAAGGGGACTGTTCTCTCTCCTTAGGTCACCCCAGGCCTTGGGATGATAGCAGTGTTGCTGCTGTTTCTGGTGGTGAGGGAACCGCCTCGTGGAGCTGTGGAACGCCATTCAGACACCCCTCCCTTGAGCCCTACCTCTTGGTGGGCAGATGTTCGGGCTCTGGCTCGGAAGTGAGTCCGAAAATCTTTTGTATAACCCTTGACTCATACCCTTGGACTTCTTTAGTCCTTTAAGGAGGATCAGTTACATTTCTTGTAAAATGAAGTGGGAGTTCATCCTGTGT